ACACATCGCACCATTCAAATGCCTCGTTTGACGGCTTCTGGGAAGCTGAAGGCCAAGGCACCAGCGCTGCTGCTGGGGTGTCCCCGCTCCTCGAGCCTGGGGGTGGGATCTGGGGAATTGAGACGATGTGCCGCCTAGGACTGGGTGGTCACCTAGGGCTGAGCGCAGAGGAGATCTTCTTCCTCTCAGTGTTCTTGAGCCTCTGGCAGTATGGCCTAATCCCAGAGTGCCAGGTGCTCCCAGGGGGAGGCGGCCTTGGGCTAGAGGGAGTGGGGTCGCTCTGGGTCACCGAGGGCATCTGAGGCCTGTAGGAGGCAAAGGATAGGGACTGTAGAGATCTTCTAGAGATGGGTTCTGGGTCCCTAATAGAGTGACAGAGCCACGGAATGTTGGGAAATCCATAGAACATAGAATGTCAGAGCTGGGAGGGCCTTTAGAACATGGAATGTCAGAGCTGGGAGGGACCTTAGAATGTGAAATGTCAGAGCTTAGAAGGCTCATAGAACACAGAATTCCCATACCCCTTGAGGACAGGGCCAGTTTTTTTTCTTCACTTCTTTGTATTCCATTGCTTAGCACAATGCCTAGCACATAGTGTTTAGTAAATATTTGTTCCTGATCAACACAGAATGCCAGAGCTAGGAGGGATCTTAGAGGTCATTTCATCTAATCCCCTCATTTTACGGATGAAGGCCCAGAGAGGGGCAGTGACTTACCTAAGGCCACACAGCTTGTAAGTGGCAGCCTGTGACTGGGTGTCAGGTCTTCCCTGCCCTCCCGAGCCCAGATGCCCTTTGCACAGGCAGGGGGACCCTTTGCAGGCAGTTCCGACTTGTCTGCCTTGTAGATCAGTTTCTCTGTCTGTGGGCTCAGGACTCCACAGAAGTCAGGCTCTAAGTACAAACTCTTGGCCTCTAGACTTGACTCTGGACCATTTCCCCAATTAAGGCTTGGGGAAAGGGGGATGTGCTAAGGGTTCAGAGTACATGCGGATGTGTGTTCTCTAAGTTGGCTGGAGTGTGTGTAGGTGGAACCTGAGGGAGAGATGGCAGGGTGGCCCAAGGTAAAGAGATCTAGGAGCTGGGAGCATTGGATCCTTGGTCCAGCTCCGCCACTGATTCCTTGGATTAGTTTAGGGAAGTCCCCTCCCCTCTCTCGGCCTCAGTTTCTCTGTCTGAGAAATGGAGGAATTGGACCAGAAAGTGTGGAAGGTCCCTTTATCCTTTGGCATCTCAAGAATCTAAAATCCCCCTCTCCTCCTCCCCAGGCTTCTAGAAAATTCTCATTGGATTTAGAGCTGGAAGACCTTCTAATCCAGCCCCTCTCATTTTACAGATGAAGAGACCAGGGTCCAGAAGGGCCCCACAAGTCAGTAAGCAGCAGAGCTTAAATTCAAACCCAGGTCTCCTGATTCCACATCCAATGTCCTTTCCACCATCTTCTTCTAATCGCCCTCCGGAGGAGCGATTTCCCGAAGCCCCCGGTGTAAGGGGAGGGGGGGACAGGGAGGCTGCTTCCCCCCCCTCGCCGTCAGGATCCTCCACAGCAGGGCTCGGCCAGGAGGCTCAGCAGTGCCAGCCCCAATTACGCTGATCCTGTCACCTCCCTCCTGCTCCCCTCCCCCGTCCCAGATGCTGCACTGGGCTGGTGCCAGACCAAGGCAGCTTGGTCAAGGTGGGAACTTTATGGGGAGGCCCTGAGGAAATAAGTGGAGATCAAGCCTAACCCCACCTCCCTCCGCACACACTTTACCCAATGCCCGGGACCCATCAGGTTTTTTCCACTCCCCATCACTCTGCCTAACTCCTTCCACTCCCTCCCCCTCAGATTTCCACGCTCTCCAACCCCATTGCATTTGTGTCAGTTGAGGCTGAGACCAAGATGGTTCAGAGTCTTTGGCTTAGGCACTCAATTCTCAGAACAGGAACAGTCCTTAGAGACCCCTTCATCAACCTGCTCATTTTGCACGTAAGGGCACTGAGGCTGATAGCTTCAGGTTACATAGTCACATCTCCTCTGGCTTCAAATCCAGTTCCCCTCTGGTGAGGTAAGACTTTGGGCCTCAGATTTGAGAGCTGCAAAGGGAACTTAGAGGCTGTAGAATCCACCCCTCTGCCTCATTTTACAGAGGGGGAAACTGAGGCTCTCAGGAGTAAGGTAATCACCCAAGTCATTGACAAAGCTTATACAAAGATCTAACTTGGAACTCTGACTTCTAAGTTCTAGGTTTTCTCACCTCCTCTGGAATTCTAGAACACTGGTTTTACAATCAGGAGAACTGGATTCCCATCCCAACATTCCTCCTTCTAAGCTACGTGACCTCGGACAAACCGTTTCTCTTTTCTGGGTATTGGTTTTCTTGTCTGTTAAATAAAGGGGCAGAACTAAATTATTTCTAAGGTCCTTTCTCCTCTAAATCTTAAAACTCAGTGGACCTCTCAGTCCTGCTTGGTTATGTGACCATGGAGAAATTACCTTCTCTGTCTGGCTCTGTTATAACCCCCACCCCACCCCGCAATACCCCATTGTGGTGGAATAAGGGCTGGGGAATGGTGAGGAGCAAAACGCCCAAGTTATCCCACCCTAGGCTCCTGGCAGCCAAAGCAGAATGAGCTTCTAAGGGTAGTGAGCTCCTTGTCACTGGTCATATTCAAGTAGAGCCTTGGATGACATGTCAATTTGGGGATAGATGCCCTTGGAGGTCTCTGTCAACTCTAAGATTCTATAATTCTATGATTACTGTTGTAACTCCCAGTGCCCAGCCCAGAGAGAGAGACTGATATCTGAATCTCAATAAAGCAAATAAATCCAAGCCTACCAGTCTATACTGAACTCCCCTCCTTGCCCCCCTTTGTACCTACCTTTGAGCAGCGCCCTGAGATATGGAGGAGGAGCAGACCCTGTCTTACCCTCAGGGAACTTCCAGTCTAGAGGTTACGAGAAGGGATTGACCCAGGCTCTGCCTGGGGTGACATAAGACCCACACTCAGAAACAGAGAACAAATGAGAATTAAAAATGGAGGGGGGGAAAGGTGAGCAAGTTCTTGGACTTGTGATTCAGACAGTCCGCAAACTAGATGGAAGAGGATTCTGAAAACTTGTAGTGGAAGGTGGGGCTTGAGCCTCGTCTGGATTGGGACGGTTGCTAAAGATTGCTCCAGAAGGTCGGTCAGCCTTCTTCTTGACAGGCCAAAGAGGAAAACCCTTTACGGCTCATCTGGTCCAACTACCTTATCTTACCCAAGGGGAAATGTCTCCCAGATGAGAGAAAGGACTTTTGCCAAAGTGTCTAAGTTACTGATTAAGATTGAGTGGGCTTACCAGGATGGGGAAGGGCTGGAGAGCTGACGGGGAGGGACAGGGCCTCCCAGGAGGAGAGAACAGCTCCTGACCCAAGGTTCATGGGCCAGAATAAATCTAATGTGTTCAAAACAGTGAGGAGCCCAGCCTGGGGGTGAGGGGGTGGGGTGGTGTCAGGATATAAGATGGCAGGAAGGGTTAAATCTGGGGCGAAGGTTGAGGCTAGGCTATCAAAGGTTTTAAATGCTGGACTGAGTTTGGACCTGATCAGGTGGGCAATTGGGAGTCACTGCAGTTTCTTGAATAGGGGAGGGGACTGAATCAGAGTTGGGCTTCAGTGGTCAATATAGAAGGGAGAGATAGGTGGTGGGAAAAGAAGGTAAGATTCTGGCTCTCTGGGGGTGGGGGCTGGTGCCTTTGGGGGCAGTATGGTGTAGTGCTGAGAGTTCTGACATGGGTTCGAATCCCCCTTCTGCAACTATTTTATTGTGTGACCTTGGTCAAGTCATTTCCTCAAGGGCCTCAGTTTCCTAATGTGTACAATGAGGAATTTAGAAGAGATGCCTTTTAAAGTCTGTTGAAGTTCTCAATTCTCTGGTTATGTGATTCCCCCTCTCCACCTTTTCTCACCTCCCACACAACCTTTCACACCTCCCCCCCAGTCCATACAGACTCTCAGGTTTTGTCCCCAGCCTCATCGGAGGTAAGCCGGGCCTCTGCCGTCTGGCCAGACCCCCCTTCCCCCCTTGCAGAGCGGCCCCCGCGTGCCCAGGCCCCAACAGACAGAGCATCGGAAACAGCTGGCCGTCCAGATGTTGTTGGTTTTCTCCCCGCATACTTGCATGTTCCTCGCCGTTCCTGTTGGGTCACCCCTTTCCTTTCTCTGTTCCCTGCCACCCACCCCCAGCTGGCTCAGAGCTAGCTCCCTGTCCAGGCTGGTCCCCTCGGGGGGCTGAGGGAAGGGGGCTCTGCTCTGGGTCAGGACACAGCAAAGCCAGAGCATTCTGAGTCTCCAGGAGAAAGAGAGGGAGAGAAGGAAGAAGGGAGGGATGAGGAGCACAACAGCATTTTTGAGGACTAAGAAATTTGTTTCTTGTTGGTAAGGCTGTTCTTGCTGTGAAGGAGTGGCCCCTCCTTGGCACAGTGCTCAAGGGGATTAGGCCCCCATTAGGGAGACTGAGTCGGCTAGTGGTAAGAGCAGATGTATGGGGGTGGGGAGTGGGGATCTGGGCTCCAGGCCTGGTCCTGTGTGACCTCAGGAAAATCACTGTACCTCTCTGACCCTTTTTCTTCTCAGCCAGACCAGGCTAATCCTTCTGGCAATGCCGGCCTCTGAAGCTTTTTACGAGGCTCAGACAGATAATGGATGTCAAGGGCTCTATACACCGGACAGCCCAGTAGAAATGTCGGCTGGTGTCCCTGCTCATGGATGAATCCAGGAACTTGGAAGGACAGACTCTTGAGCTCCCCGGGCTGGAAGGCCCCCCAAGGCCTTCTGGGGCGACCTGGGCCCTTCTCCACTGCCCTGACAAGGGCTTATCCAGACTCCGATGGAGAAGGCCAGAGGCAGGCGGCTCATTCCACTTTGGGACAGCTCGGACGCTTGGGAAGTTTTTCCTTACATGGAGCCCCAGTCCGCTTCTTGGCCGCTCCCCGTGTTCCCTCCATCAGGGCAGACCATGGCCCCTTCGTGACTTCTCCTCTTGTCTGTGTCTATTGTTTTTATTATTTTTGGACTGGGACCTGTGATTTCATCGCTATAAGGGAGCTCCTGGTAGGAAAACTCCCTCTACCAATTCAGGTCAGCACACTTAACTTAACTCACAACTTAGAAGTCTTGGAGTTGTCCCTTAGGCCTAGGGAGGTTATTAAGTGACTTGTCCAGGGTCACACAGCCGGCAAATGTCCGAGACAGCACCCGCACCCGGGTTGGCTGGACCTCAAGATTGGCTGGTCTTTCTACTATGTCTCATTATCTTTTGTTAATAATGGAACTTGGCAGTTCTGACTTGTTTCTTGCTTATCTTAGGACTCCCTGCTCCCCACATCCCCACAAACAACTTGATTTCTTCAAGCCTCTCTTTACCTACCTATAAAATGGGAATGCTAAGGTGACCCTGTATCTGTGGGTAAGGGACCTGGTCCCTGTGGGTTGAAGTTTCTCAATTCATTCATTAACAAGGTGATAACTCCTCCCACCCCCAGATACCCTCGGCTTGAGGAAAGGAAAAGATGATGGGTTCCAAAGGTCCAGAGCCAGTACTAGGCCCATAGAAGTGGAGGGAACTTCACAGGCCATCTGGTGCAAGGCTTTTGTTTTTCAAGCAGGAGAATCGGGGCCCTGCAGGGCAGGGGATGCTGCAGACACCCTGTGGTACCCTAGAGACATCGTTCCTTCTGGAGCTACTTTGTCCTTATCTGTTAAAGGAAGGGGTTGGATTGGATGGGGAACCTGCAGCCTCGAGGCCACATGTGGCCTTCTAGGCCCTCAAGTGCAGCCCTTTGACTGAGTCCAAATGTCACAGAACAAATCCCCTAAATAAAAGGATTTGTTCTGTAAAACTTGGACTCAATCAAAAGGCCGCACCCGAGAACCTAGAAGGCCACATGTGGCCTCCGATCATTCCTCAGGTCCTTCTGGCTTGAAATCTTATTACCCTCTGGTCCCGGTGAGGACCCATCCAGAACAGTGTAGATGGTGTATGGGAGGCATTCTGGTTGAGCTGGAAGAGCATTTGATTTGGAATCCAAGGACCGAGGATAGAATCTCTGCTATGTGTGACTTTGGGCGAGTTAACTTCCTTCCCATAGGCCCTAAATGAGGTAGACGAATTGATTTCTCAGATCTCTCCCAGTGCCAGGCTTGCCCAGGGTTACACAATGGGTCAATGGCAGAGCTGGGGCTCAGACCCAGGGCAAGGTGTGCTTTAAAAAAAAAAAGTAGCCCTGTCCCTTTGAAGTTTAATCTGCATTAACATTTTCTGTATCACCTTCTTAAATCTAGATAATCAGCAAAACAACAAATCAAGCCCTGATTTGGAGCCTTTGATGATTTTCCAAGGTGTCAGTGTTAAGGCTGAAGATTTAACCATTGGCTGTCAATAGCCAGTAGGAGCTGGTTTCAGCACGGCGCAGAGCCCAGGACGCCTAACTCCCAGTCCAGTGTCATCCCCCATTATGTGATGCTGTCTCTTATGACAGAACATCTCCGGAGCCCATAGACTCAGAGAGCAAGATCCCACCCTGGAGGTGGCTGGCTGTGAGTGGATAGTCACAGTCTGACTGCCTGAGGCTCTCTTAGGGCTCTGAATGAACACAAGCCTGGTCTCCTCCAGTGTCAGGCCTGGTTATGCCAGGAGAACATATAATACATTGGAAGGCGTATGGGGTTCGGGGTCACGGGAAACAAGGTTCAAATTCCAGCTTCCTGTCCACGTGACCTTGGGCCAGTCCCTTGACCTCTAGGCCTCACATTCCTCATCTGTAGAAAGGGAAGGTTAGCTTCTGAGGTACCTCCAGATGGTTTTATGATCTTTTGATGCCATAATCTGTTTTCCCCAAGGGTAGAGCCCTAATCTCCTCCTCCTCCTCCTCTGTCTCCCCTGGATTAACCCCCTGAGGGCAGGGCCCACACTGGCTTCCCTGCTCTCTCTCCTTCTCCAGGTTGGCAAGACCCAGGCCTAGGCACACAGAAGCCTTCAAGACAGATGTATTGAAAGGCATTGAGGAAGAAGACATACAGATACAAACTCAGATCAGCTCCGCTCAGCTACTCTTCCACCATTTTGGGCTCCCATGCTTTAAAGGGAAGAAAAACATCCCAGGGCAGCAGCACACGTGGTCTCCTCTGAAACTGGACGAGATGACACCATGTGGGAACGGTCCCTCCCAGGCTGTCCCTGGGCTCAGCCCTGGGGTGGGGCAGCTGCGGGAGGGGCTGCTAGAGCTGCTGTCCCTGACTGCCTCTCTCAGCATTCTGCTAGTCTTACCCAGTCTCTCCACATCCAAACCACAGAAGTTCAGGGACCCCTGGGCCAGAGCAGGTGCCCCACTGATACAACCTTTCAAGATTCAGGTCCTGAGTGCATTCCCTGAGGGCAGGGAAAGTCCCCATCCCACTGTCAGTGGAGTGCTGCTCGGCTTATCTCAGAACGGGCAGGCTGGCGGGGCTGTTGTTGGTATTTTTTGGGCATCTTTCCATGGGGCTAATGATGCCTGCAGGTGCTGGCAAGGGAGGTAATTAGCAGTTTCTGGTTGCCCCTGCCGGCAGCCTGCCTGACTCAAGGAGCAGGGACTCCCACGGCTCATTCCCCTCTGTTCTGAGGTTGGCGTTAGGGCCTGAGACAGAGCACACCTCCATGTCTTCTCTCAAATCGATCAGTCAGTCAATCAGCAAGTATTCATTAAGTGCCTACTATGTGCCAGCCAGCCACCGTGCTCAGTCCTGGGGATACAAACAGAAAAGAAACAGCAGTCCCTGCCCTGGGGGGGTTTACATTTCATCAAGGGAAACAACCAGCACACATATAAGCAAACACAAAATATTGACAAAGGGAAAATGAAGTAATTGGGGGGAAGCAGCTGGAAAGGGTGGGGATCAGTAAAGGCCTCATGTAGGAGGTGGCTCCTAAGCTGAGCTTTCCAAGAAGCTCGGGATTTTAAGAGGCAGAGGTGAAGAAAGAAGGCATTCCAGGCATGGGGGATAGCCTGTGCAAAGGCAAGGAGGTGGGAGACCAATTACATATGAGAAACCACCAGAAGATCAGTTTGGCCAGACCATAGCATATACAGAGGAATGATGTCAAAGTCTGGAGCCAAGTTGTGAAGGGATTTAAATGGCAAATAATGGAGTTTGTATTTGATGCCAGAGGCCATCTAGAGTTTATTGAATAGGGGAGTGGCATGGTCACACATGCTTTAGGAAAATGACTTTGGCAGCTGGGAAGAGGATGGATTTGAGCTGAGAGAGAGATTGGAGGTAGGGGAACTAACTAGAAGGCTATTGTAGTGATCCAGCTGAGAGGTGATAGGTCTGAACTAGAACTGTGACTGTGTGAGTTGAGGGAGGGAGGGAAGGAAGGAAGGAAGGAAGGAAGGAGAAAGAGAGAGAGGGTAGGAGAGATAGAGGAAGGAAAGAAGGAAGGAAAGAGGGAGGGAAGAAAGAAAGAAAGAAAAGGAAGGGAGGAAGGAAAAAGGGAGGTAGGAAAGGAAGAAGGAAAGAAGGGAGGGAAGGAGGCAGAGAGGAAAGCAGCATTCGTTAAACATTTACTATCTGCCAAGTACTATGCTAAACATATGTTAAGTGCTTTGCAAATATTATAGGAAAACTAGGTGCTACTATTATCCTTATTTTACAGTTAAGCAAAATGAGGCAAGAAGAGGCTAAGTGATTTGCCCAGGGTCACACAGCTAGTAAGTGTCCGAAGTGGGATTTGAACACAGGTCTTCCTGATTCCAGGCCCAGTGCTCTATCCACTTCGACACCTAGCTGCCTAAAAGGGGAGGGATGCTGAAAAAATGACAAGCATTAGAAACTGGTTGGATATATGGGGTCAAGAATGACTCTAAGATTGAGAACTTGGATGACTAGAGGCCTGGTGGTGCCCTCTGCAGAAACAGTTCAATCAGCAAGGGGGGTGGGCTCGATAATGAATTTGTTTGGACACATCAAGTATAAGCTGTCCATACGACATCCAATTGGAAACATCCAATAGGCGGTTGGTGATGGGGTCCTGGTGCTCAGGAGGGATACTGGGGCTGGATGTAGGGATCTGGGAGTCATCTGGATAGCCATGAAGATTAGACCCACGACAGCTGCTGAGGTCACTAAGAGAGGGAGATGTCAAAAGAGAAAAGAAGGCTCAGGACAGAGCCTGAGGGCAGAGTCAACTACAGAGCCAGGCCTGGTATTTATTCCTGCCCCTACCTACTTCATTTTGCTCAGGGTTGGGCAGAAGGTCTGACTTGTTCAGAAAGTCTGCCCAGAAAGGGGTTGGTGTGAGCCTGGGCTGAAAGTCAGGAGAACTGAATTCTAGTCCAAAGGATTATGGGATTTTCAGGTTGAAAAAGACGATAAAGGTTACCTAGTCTCACACACACTCCATCATCATTTTTCACATAGGGAAACTGAGGTCCAGAGAGGGTAAATAACCCCCCAAAGAGCCAAGCTTTACCCCTCTGGGTCTCTGACTCCAAATCCAGTGCACTTTCTGGTACACTTCAATGCCCCAGTGCCCTCTGTAAGACTGTTTTCCTCTCTGTAAAAAGAGGAATCTTTCAGGCTCCATAAGCGACCTCCGCCAAGCCCTCCTCCCTTTTAGTGTCTTCAGCCAGGGGTTTCTTTCTGGTATTTCTCCCAGATCATTTTTTATGTAGCTCAATCCTATATACAGGGTGTCCCAAAAGTCCGAATGTGGGTTTAAGCTAGTAAAACTTAAAACCGCACTCGGACTTTTGGGACACGCTGGACTTCAAACGGGCCCTTGATAGGGCTGGAGGACAGCACATTCCAACGTCTTGGTGAGAGCCTGTATGAGCTTCCCCCTTCCCTGGCTCAGTGACCCTCCCCCACTTCTGGAGGCCAGGATTGAGCTCTTTTCAGTGGTCCCCATGGCTTGCACAGTGTCTTGGACCCTAGAAAGGGGCTGAAGGGCCTGAAGGAAATAAGCATCAAAAACCAAAGGGACAACCTCGTCCTAGACCCTGGCCCAGCTGGGCCCCAAGAACTGATAGTGCCTCTGATTCCAAGGAGCCAGGCTGGAGCCAGGAAAACCTTAGAGAAGGCCCAGTGTGGGGGCTGTC